CAGTGCCTAAAAATATTCGAAGGGGAAAGGAAATTATTTACCATCCTTGAAATATCTAACCAAATATTATGAGTTAGTGAGATCACATCAACAAAAATATGCCAACTAAAGTCGAAGGAATCTGATTTATTTATCTCACAGTGTTTGTGATAATACCGTAGTCCTTATTGTCAATCAAGTAAGGGAAGAACTAATCGAAAACATTAAACATAAATACAGTATAATTGTTGACTCCATCCCCAAGATTTCTCACATCGGCCAACTTACTTCTGTGATTTTTTCCCCTCCTTTAAAAATAAGGAACATAACTTATATTTTAAGTATACTAAATTATTCGCTTTTATAGTTAATTGAACTAAAATGTACAAAAAAATATTATTATAAGAAAAAAATGATTAACGAGAAAATTAATATCATTGTGGTAAATGAGTGGAGTGCTCGATGTCAGTTTTGCTGTAATTTCTTACTAGTCCTATTCTGAAATGCAAAGTCAGTGTATACATGTAGTACAAAACACCCTAAGGGCTTTCTATAATAAAAATTATCTTTTTTACTTTTTAGTTCGATTAATTATAAGTGCATGCTTTTTAGTTTTTTAAACTATCATTTATTTATTAATGAATTATTCTTCAATGCAGCCATTTTTTAGAATCTGGAATACCCATTAGTATCCTATTAGTAAGTTGATGTTGCCTAGTTTGCAAAATGTAGGATCAGCCAACAAATTGTTTCATTTTTTCACAAAAATAACCCTTTTTTTATTGTTTTCTGTATTTGTATTAAATATGATCGCTTTTGATTTAGGGTTGTAACCTAATCTTTACCAAATTTGGAATTAGTCACCAAATCTGGAAATGAGACCTGGAGTTAGTCGCAAAATCTGGAAATCGTTAATCCTGATAATCCTCATCAGGGCAATCTTAAACTATTGTATTGTCTTTGGTGTGCAAAATTTCGAATAAATCGGACTTTTTAAATTGGGCAAAAACCATGTTCAAAGATTCCGTTACGTACAGGGGAAGCTAACAAAAGCGCGTTAATAAAGGAATTTTGAGAGGATACAATCACATAGTTAAATACAACTCTTCATACATGACAAAATAAGTTTTGAAAGTAATAGGATTAGAGTGAATATCACTAACTGTTGAGAACAATATTTTCACAATGCTTTAAATATGTCAGAACAGTACTTAAGTTAACAAGCAAGCAATAAAAAAAACGTAGTTTATAAACTCATTTCTTTTATTTCATGTATTACCCATTCCTTAATTGATTTGGAAATTTCACTGCAAAGCCGTGTAATTTAATATTCCATATTTGAACAGAAGTCAGTACAATCTTTCTTTGTGCTAACTTATTGCTGGAAAATTTTAAGGACGGATTAAAAGTTGAGGAGATATGTTCCGTCTTTGATTTCTTGACAGCACAAAAAATGGTGCTACTATTAACGACTACTGTTAATGGTATACAGCAGCGATACTTAGCCTGCGGCCCGCGGGCCGCATGTGACCCACCGAGCGTTTTTAAGTGCCCCGGCAAGTGCCCATTGTTCCAAGAGATATACTTATTTATGAACTTTGTACTAAATATTTGGTTGCAAATTTTTTCTCAAGAAATCAAATGTATCAATTTTTCTTTTTACTGTCGGTGTCGTACGGGTACGAATTGATATTCTTTTTCTATTTGGAACGGTTACGGTTGGGGAGTAGCGACAATTATATGAGTGGAAATAATTTTGAACTATATTTCATATCTTGCAAGTGAAAAATATTCGAAGAAAATAAATCGTTGCAAGACGATTGGGGGGCTGACTATTTTGTAGTGAAAAACAACCATGGATCAGTAATTGTCCGATTTGTCCAGAAAAGAGCTGTATTTAAAAATACCAATAAACAGGAATCTCATTCAATGACACTTTTCCTCGAAGATCTCTTTCAAGAGGTTATAAATAGGGTTTCTTGAATAATCTTTGCAACAGCAACAAAGTGTCTTGTCATTGGTAATATCACAGCGGTGGCAAAGACATCTTATGAAGTTTGTTATATTATTGGTAATCATATGAAACCATTTACTGATACAGAAATTGTGAAGGAGTGTTTCTTAAGGTATTCGACTAAGTTTGGAACCGTGATTTAAAAAAAAACGCATAAATGGATAATTTTCATGATAATTAGTATCACTCAGATATGAATACATGCATGAAATTGTTTTAAGGATATTTTAATGAAAAACAATTATTTAAATACAATATTTTGGCAAAAAATTAACTTAGAATAATTTTGTTTCAAAATGTTCTCCTTTTGTGAAAAAGGCTTCTATTATAATAATATTTTGCCTGTATATAGTTCAGATAACTCTACAGAGGTTCAACTAGAATCTTTGAAAAATTCACATTATTTTCAAGTTACCTCCAATTCAAATAATTATTGGAGTTTTTACCTTAAAATTGTTCCCTCTGTTTTCGTAAAATATGGATAAACCCACTTCTAAGTTATATATTTCAAAAATTCTAGTTAAGCCTCTGTAGAGAGGTCTGAGCTATATACAGGCAAAATAGTATTATAATAGAAGCCTTTTTCACAAAAGGAGGACATTTTGAAAAAAGATTATTCTAAGTTAATATTTTGCCAAAATATTGTATTTAAATATTTTTTTTTGTCAAAATGTCCTTATAAAACAGTTTTATGCATATATTCTCTCTAATCTGAGTAACACTAAATATCATGAAAACTCTCTATTTATGCGCTTTTTTAAAATCACGGTTCCGAACGTAGTTGGATACCTTAAATACTTCGAATTAAGTGTTAGTGACAAAAATAAAAAATAATAATTAAAATAAATTATTATTAAAAAAAGCAAAACAGGTGTTATAATATTTTGATCAATTTTCTACATTTTAAATTTCCAACATTATTTTCGTCTAAAAGGATTTATCCTACTGTTCCTTCCTCCTTGTATCCTCATGTTGCAGCCAGCGTGAAATAACTAACATATGTGTGGAGCCTGCATGAGAAAAAGATTGAGTATCCCTGGTATACAATATTCAGAAAGAAGAGAGAATATACCATTTTTATATATGCAGATGTTTGGCCACGGTAAATTATGATACTTATCATACGGTGACAGTAAGCAGCTGTTGAACAATGTTGCCGATATTTGGTTCAGGTCTTTTTTTGTCTGCAGCATGATATATTGTAAACCTTGAACTTACGCTATAGGTGGAACTGACTGATGACCACCTAAGTCAGGAAACTACGAATTCGTATAAGTATTTCAGATATAAATACTTATAAATTATTTCTAGTTGAGGCCAAAGACAAAAGAAAATAGTAATTCAGAAAAAAAAGCGTTTGTAATGATCTTACCTCTGAAGTTACTTCCTCATCATCTTGCCTACCTAACGTTGTGGGAGGTAACAATGAATGACCCAGATTATCCATGATAAATCTAATTTATTTTTATCAAAGATAATATTCCAGAACAATTCATCTATAAAAGGAACCCTTGGAGTGATATAAAGAAAGCAACGGCTACACGTGATTAAGCACTCGAAATCCGAATAGATTAACTTTAATCAATCCTATCCTATCAATTCTAGATTCACTAACTTAGTAGCTAAAATCCGTCCTATAGTCACGATGCGTAATTTTAATTCTTACCATAGTAACACTGTGTTCAGCTGCTCCGCTTCTACTGATTTACGATTATTAAACTCTAACTTTACATATACTAACTAATTTGCATCTCATGGTTTCTTCTTGAGAGGAATGGCTGTGAAATAAGCGCGAAAGCTAGCCCAAAGATTCCCCAAGAGGATTAGTTGTTGAAAGTCGCGTAAAGCCCCGCGCGTCACACTTTTAATAAAATTTTAGGTAACACAAATACAAAATCAAAAAACGAAGTACTTTTGATGGAATGGTTTTATAAAAGGGAACAGAGTGTCTGCTGGTTCAAAGATTTTTTTTCACCGCGAAATTTCCTTGCAGGATGCTAGTAAATTTTATTTTTAGTTTTGCTGAAAAAATTCGCTCATCGTTATAGTCAATATTTCTAAAATGTGTAACCCTTTTTCAATCTATCTGATTCCTTGTGTCAAATTCCCAGTCTTCATTGATTTTAGGATTGAACTGGATCTAAAGACTAAAGTTCTTCAATGTGTTGCTCATGCATTTCTATGAGCTCGACAATTGTCAGCTCCTGATTGTGGAAATCCACCAGTTTTTGAATGCCATCACCATCCATTTCTAGAATTATTTGACTTATTAGATCAACAACTTCTTCAACCATACACATTATCAATTTCCCCAATTTTAATAATTTTTTTTCTCTCAAATAAAATAGGAATCGACGAGATTTGAAAATAGCGTAATTCCGGGTACGCGTAAATCGGAGTAGTAGCGTAAGTTGAGGTATTACTGTAACAGTCAGAACTGGTCGTTGTTTTCTGTGTGAAGCCGACCATTACTATCCTTTTTAACACCCTTTTATAAGCTTCATTTGTATGTGACGGGATGTTTGAATTCAATTTTTACCCACTTTTAAAAAGTCAAATTAATTCGAAATTTTGCTCACTTGCCCACGACCGATGCCAATACTACAATTTAAGAATTTTGTTCCATTGTCCTTATCAAGATCATCAGGAATAACGATTTTCTATTTTCAGATCCCCTCCCGTATCTGGTGACTAATTTCAGATCCCATTTCCAGATTTGGCAACTAATTCCAGATTTAGCGACTAAAGGATTATGTTACACACACACAAAACTTAGTTCGATTATCTATAAAAAAAAGGGTGTTCTTTTAGTTTTTTGAAGTTATACTTCTTTTGGGGCGTTAGAGAAATAGGATGAGGGTAAATTTTTACAAAGCGTGCGCACTCCGTCACGGATATGACGCAAAACAGTCACGGAAGCGAAAAGCCTTTGTCAAGAAATATACAGAAAAGGACAAGTCATTCCCGCCTTCTCAGAAAAATATTTATCTTCACTTCCCTGAAGAATGGGACACCCCGGGTTTGAACCGGAGACCTCTCGATCTGCAGACGAATGCTCTACCATTGAGCTATACACCCGCGTCAGAGACCCTTTGCTTTGTGATCCGTAGGAAAGTATACGAAAATGCTTTGTCTAGAAATATACAGAACGGGACAGATCATTGCCACCTTCGAAATTCTCAAAAATCTTATCTCTATTCGCTTCCCTGAAAATGGGGGCATCCGGGACCTCCCGATCAACAGTCGAATGCTCTACCTCTGAGCTATACTCCCCGTGTCAGAGAGACTTTGCTTTGCGTTCCATAGGAACGGATACAAAAATGCTTTACAGAAGCTTATACAAAAGCTTTACTGCACACACTGTAAAGCACACACTGCTTTACAGAAAAGTATACAGAATGGGACAGATCATTCTCGCCATCAAAATCATCAAAACAAGAAATTTTCGCTTCACTTCTCTGAAGAAGAAGACTCCCGGGTTTGAACCGGGTACCACTCGCTCTGCAGTCGAATGGTGTACCACTGAGCTATGCACCCGCACTTGCGAACCTTTCTTTTGCGTTCCGTAGGAACGGATACGAAAATGCTTTGTTTAGAAATATGCAGAGCGGGACAGATGATTCCCACCTTCGACCCCCTAACCATATTATTTGTCCTATTGTCCCTGCGAAGGGATGTTTAAATTTATTTAAATCGTGATTATGTCAGGTTTGGCTGGTTCGACTGACTTAAGGTTAGTATCGTTCAACTCTGCTCGTGACCGCCTTTCGTCCTTGGCCCAGCTTGCACTGCTAAAGATTTTTAGAAAGATTTTAATCTTGTTACGTTAAAGAAGTATAACTTCTTACGTGCGTACATAAGTACACATACACTTTTTTTTTTAACTGTGATTTTTTGTACGCTTTGCATTTCGAAGGCTATCCAAGTTCTTCAAACTACATTTTTATCAATTCCAATATCTTGTGGCAACACTTGTCAAACTACACTCTTCTGAAGGTTGCCATTTTATCTACCGCGTAAAAAAAGCATTCTGATGGTTTCTTTTAGCTATTATAAACATACCACTTTACTTTTACTTGTAGGAAATGTCTAGAAATGTGTCCTTCATCTTTCTTTTCAAGTTGTTTTGGTACAAAAAGCACGCAATACATGCATTCGCGTATCGTGACTTCCTCTCTGATGTCATAGTGCTGGTATTTGCATCTGCATGTTCTTTCTATTGAGATCCCATTTCACTGCAGGTCGGTATATGCTCTTTTTAACAGGTTCATGGATGAATATTGAAAAATGCATTTGTTGCTTGAGTTTTACATTTTAGTGTATTTCTGAAAGAAGACGAGAACACGAAAAATCCATACCAGACGAGAGATCCAGAAATAAGTTTTTCTTGTGATATCCCATCAATGTAGATAGATTTCAGATCTATCGAGACGCAATAAAGAATGTGTTGCCCGTTTCAAAATATTGAATTATTATGGTAGAGTTTTTCACAACGTTTCCCTTATCCAATAAGTTTGGAGAAATATCATTTTCTTTTTATAGAAGAATCACAAGAATTGCTTAAGGAATGCAATTTGAAAAGAAAGATTAAATTACTTATATGTTTTGCATAAAAAGAGAGCAGGAATTTTTAAGTCCCTTTGAAAGTTCTTAAGAGTTTTCAAAAAATAAAGCCAAACAGTAATTTTCATGCAAAAAATATTTTGATAAATTTATTTTATGTGTAACAACAGGATGTTTTCATTACTATATTTTCTTTTTCTTTTTTTTTTTTTTTGCGTGTGTCTTAATTTATGATAGTTTTCTTGCAACTTTTATTTCCAAAATAAGTTTGAGGGTCCAAAAATATTTCATCGCTTGAGACCTCTACTTAACGTCAACTGTCAGTGATTACTCAAATTCAATTGTGTTTGCATTTTATAAAGAATCAGAGAAATTAGCATTACGCTCCGGGTAAAGTTCATTCTTTACAGACAGTAATTATCAGAATTAATCAGTTGAATAATGGGAATATATATATATATATATATATATATATATATATATATGCAGGGTGTTGCCAAATTCGACCAGCAAATTCAGAAAGGTGATAGCAGGCAGCATGGTGATAATAAATCAACACAAAACGTGTCGAAAACCCCTTGAAGTCGGAGAAAATTGCAATAATAGGTCAGGAGGACAAAGAGTCAGATGAGTGGGGTAGAAAAACAAATGAAAGGATTTGGAGCCCCGTGATAAGATTAAACAAACGTACACGTATGCAAATTTCTCACTTCTCCTGGAGTTGCATCAGAGAGTACAGACCACTGTGCATCAGAACGTCAACTTTATTCTACAGAACCCGAGAGATAGACTGGACGCGGTGGATCTGTTCTTTTGCGACCGCAGTTCCCGGACCTAAATCCCTTGGATTTTTTTCTTCTGGGTTGAACTTGAAATCGCTTGTGTATGAGACTTGAGAGGCTACAGTGGAGGACTCATGGCATGAATCGTCGTCGCTTGTGCGGATTTCTCCAGCACAACGGATTGGTTAGAAGGCGCGTTGCAAGACATCGTCCGTCGATTTGGTTGTGCTCTGACCTGCGCGGCCTCCACTTCGAATAATTCCTGTGACAATCAGTTGTTGCATTTCTTCCATCAAGCTGTGGTGCTTTGTTCGTATTATAGACATGCTTTACGACCAATAAATGTATTTATCATCTCTTATTGCCCCTTTTCATTCCACTTGGCATCATACCTGTAACCATCTTACCCCAGAACTCGCTTCCTCATCATTTTGTCTACCTGAAGCTGTAGGAGGGAACGATGAATGACCAAGACTATCCATGATAAATCTAATTTCTTATTATCAAAGATAATATTCCAGAACAAGTAAACTATAAAGGGGACCCTTGGAGGGATATAAAGAAAGCAACGATTATACGTGAATAAGCGCACGAAATCCGAATATATTAACTTTAATCTATCCTATTCTGTTAATTCTAGATTTGCTAGCTTAGTAGCTTTAATTTGTCCTTTAGTTACGATGTGCGTAATTCTAATTCTTAACATAGTAACACTGCGTTCGGCTGCTCCGCTCCTACTGATCCCCGTGCTGCTTACTATCACCCCTTTAAATTTGTAAGTCGAAATTGTCAACCCCCTGTATATATAATCGAATCCAAGTCATCATCGATTCATCGATTCTAAGCTACACCCCAAATTTTTAACTTCCTTTTGTAAAAAAAAGAAGAAAAAATAGTGTAAAATAGTTCATCGATATCGAGTGTTAACAAAATTAAAAAATTTAAAATGAGAACTAATAAGAAGTGAATATAAATTTACTTTAAGAGTACTAACTCTTTTAAATTGATGTATTATGAGTGTAATTGCTCTAACCGTCGGTTGCATGTTCCCATCCATTGGTTGTATTTTTCCGCCTTCAATTTTAAACCGCACCCGAATTTGGTAGTATAAATATTGGGAAAAAAAAGTTCTGCTTAGATTCGAATAAATAATTCATTTATAAGCAATTGTTCTTGTAACTTCAGAAAATGTATGATATAAGTTATTTTAATTTCTTACATTTATTATAAGAAATCTTCGTTTCTTAATTTTTGACTTTTATAAGAATTTTTATAAAAAAAAAAATCTGCAGATATAACAAATCATTTAGTAAAAAAAACCCATTATTTCTTGGAGAAAACAGTTAAGAATATTTCTTTTAGAATTATAAATATCGTGGAATTATTTCCGTCATCTTTATTCTCGAAGAGATGAACAATATAAATTCTGTATTTTCCTCGAATTAAATACAATTAACATTGTTTTCCGTAGATTTTAATTATAAATGCGTACGATATAAGGTATATTAAAAATTCAATGATTTATATATATTTATCTTTATTTTTATCACTTAAATGCACATGCTTTTGTGTACACTTTTGCATGATTCTACTGATATAAATAATTTGAAATATGATGATTCCAATTTTTGTCTTATTCGAAATATATCATGATTGATTTCTCTTACATATAGAATCCAAACTTTACCTTGATGTTTTTCAGTTTAGGACATAAATTAAAATATTTCTACCGTATGTTTCCGAATATAAGCCGAAAATACGATTTTTCTGCAAAACTGTGCTTAAATTCATAAATCGTATATAAACCAAATTAAAGAAACTAAAATTCCTGTAATTTTCAAATATGTTGCCAAGAGGGCGAAATGGTGCTAATCGGGCAAAAGGAGTAGAATATTTTAAAATCAAATTGCTTTAAAGTAAAACGTCAGACGCCAACAGCGATAGATTTTTCTGGTAACCCTATCTGAAGTTAACGCATTTTTTCCCATTCATTTGTTATCTTGTATAAATTTGTTCATAATACTTACTGTGCATTTTTTTGTTTGTTTGGAAAATGAGCTCGGTGATAAATTCACATATGGTAAATGACCGTCGACCTGCTTCATGCCCTGGAGAAAAACTCTCACACATTGCATGATGATCAGATGCATTCAGACAGCAAAACGATCAAATGAGAATTTTACGATTTATTCGAAAACTCGGTTTCTGAAACTGACTTTGAAAGATTTATGTAATTAAATTTCCATTACATCGCCCCCCCCCCCATTTAAGAGATTAATATTAATATTTCTTGCTCCACTATGTTATAAAAAAGAGCCTTTTCATTTTTCTAAATTAGTTTTTCCCGAGATTAGCAAATCGTTATACAAACCGAACCCCTTCTTTTTACTATAAAAATTTTCCCAAAATTCTAAGATTATGCACGTAAATATGTAGTAAATATCATTTTCAGTAAACAAATACTTCTTTGAGTTCGATAAATTGAGTGCTTTCGAATCTGTTTATTATAATACGTTCATTTTCACAGAATAAAGAGTATTGATTTCAGAATAAATCAATATATGTACGTACGGAACATGAAAACTCATTTTCTCATAACCGAAGACACTAAGTTCCAGTGCAAGCAAGAGCAATGCTAGCTTTGTGCACTTTCTCAGTTTTCTTCGTGCTTATTCGAAAAATCGATAAAGGTTTTCTTGAATTTCCTCAATATCGTCTGAATCGCGTTTCGTT